TCCTCCTCCTCCTCCTCCTCCTCCTCCCTTCTCCCTCATTGGGATTGCTCATTACTGATGACCGAACAAATCATGAATGTGGAGCACTACAGTGTTTTGGGCGCCTTTACTCTCCACTCCACCACTCGATTGTGCTGTTTTAAGTGTTTCTTCTCCCTTGTTAGTACGCAATGCCATGAAAATGAGGCCCATTCACTAACACAATTCATAAAAAAAAAATTTGTGTGGGATTGACCCACAAATTTTATTGAAACCAATTACAGCCAAGATGCGTGATTGTTTGTAGGTATAAAACTGAGACACTTTATCACATCTTCACACAGTCACTTCTCCCATTTGCACTCGCATGGATCGTAGAGTGGGTTACGTTATTGTGGCTTTGGTAGCTGCTGTCCTCTTCTTTCTGGCAATCGGTTACAACGGATGGGGATGTAATGACAGCATTCTCGGACCAAAATGCATCAGTGATAAGACGCATGAAGTGACGGGGGCTCTTCTCCTTACTGCTGCTATAATCATCACCATAGCTTCCATCTTCCTTATTCTTGTTGTGACCGATGTATGGGCCTGGAGTGAGATTACATCCACCGTGACCACTGCCATGGCTGCTATCATAGCCATGGCAGGCGTATTTTTCTACTTAAACAGCCGAAATTTGTGGTCGCCCTTCATTGCCACCACAGCAATGTCACTAACCGTCGCGTTAGCAGCCATTCTTCTGTTCGACTTGATCACATTTTATGTATGAACACTCGGATCACTGCTATGTCACCTTGGTTAAATCCCTGCCTTATTTCAGTCCCTTCCAGTGAGACCTACTTGCATCTCTGTTGTGTTCCTCAACCCCACTTTGGTTTATCTTCCCAATCGCGAATAGTTTGTATCTTGTTTGCCATTGTTCAGATTTGCAGTTCCTTTCTTTTGTAACTTTGTAATCGTTTTTTGATCGCAATCGATGGTAATGAATGCATTAACTTGCATTCCTTTTTGAATTGCCTCCTCTTTCCTTGGTATCATTAACTATACCCGCCTCGCTTGATGTGCCTTCTGAAAAGCAAAAAATAAACATTTATTTAGAGAACCTTTCTCCATTGTTTAACCTCTTTTAAAAATGTTGGTGGACGCAGGTTGATATTTAATAACTTCATTGACATACTTCACTGCCGTTGGACTCGCGGCATTTGGACGACTAGTTAGTGTCGGAACACTGAGACATTCCATGCTCTTGCTTTTCTTTCGCCATTCTCAACTCCTTTCCATTACCCGTTCGTAATTATTTACTCTAAGGGGGGAAGAAGAGTATTCTTTCGACTAACTAAAACAATTTTATAACCATTGCAAGGTTGGAACGGGAAGTTGCCTCCTAAGTGTGATGATTTAAGCAAAATCCAAAATACCGCCTAGTCATGAATGGCTTGTGGCTGTCTAGTTTTGATGAAGACCTTATTAAGGTTGTCCCTTAACGGTGTGGAGAAAGGTGGACTCCTGAAATATCTACAATAGCCATGACGATCTACTGGCAACATTTTTCACCACCCAACTCTGGTGCACTATCTTTTCACATGACATTTTTGTTTATTAGCCTTTTGCTCACATACAATGGAGGATTACTGCCATCACTTTGATTGACGTTTTAGATTCGAGAGTTTAGAGAATCTCCCAAAATCAGGCACTAAAGTACGAACACCTGACACCCAGCCTCGATAATCACGTCAAGGATGAGTTTTCACCAAGATTTTAGTATTAAACAGATAGAAATGGGTAATCTCACTCCTGCTTTCCCACCGCCTTATTCGAGCTCGCCAATATTTAAGTCATTTGGCTACCTGTGTTTGTATCAGGTATCCTTCCGCTGTCCTTATCTCATAAGCCGCCCTAATAAAGTATGTAAAACTCTCTTGAGAGTACGCATACAGGGTGATTGAGGTGAGGTAATTAGCAGCACATTCAGCGGCTGACAAAGGTGGGCTAATAGTGGAATGTGAAAGCAAATTTTACAGTAATTTCGTAAGAACTAGGAGTTCTCTTATTGACCACCTGCTCTGATGGCTCAAATCCTTAAAAATAAGGAAGAAATCTTCAATTTGATCAAATTATCTACCATCGGGATTAACTCTCTTGGCTTGTTAGTATTTGTCTATCTCTTTCCCCTTTTTATTCATCTTCCATTTAAAGTTTTCAGCTACAAGCCTACCAGTTTGTCGACCTACTTAAATGGCTCTATACTTTGTATTTCTTTAGTATGTTTACTTATAAAAAATTTACCTTTGCACAGACTCACTTTGACGCCTGCTAACATTGTTGACCATACAAATGGGAGCCAATTGCCAGGTCCTCGGAACCACAGCAATGGCCTTGTAACTCTAAGTGGATGTTGTAAACAAATGTGTGCGCGCTTTAGGAGACACAGCAATAAGGAGGCACGTAAAAGCATTAATTAATTTGGATAAGCATGAAAATTAAGTGTGTGCCACGTGATTGGCAACTTTAACTATCTACCTTTTCTCTAGGTTGACAAACTTAAGTTATAAAAACAGGAGACAAAATGATAAAGCAGATGACACACAAGTGATCATTCGAAAGGGAATGTGTAGGAGTTCTAAGTATTGCAAAGTCGTCTTTTATTCGACCACTTCAAAATGACACACCAAGTCTTGAAATGGTTATGCCTTCGAGACCATTTACCATGCAAGGCAAAAATGAAACGTCATTGAGGATTTCAGCGACTGGTTACCAAATCGAAGATAAGGATGACGGACAGGGCAACTGTCAATGTCATGGCCGCCGTCGCAATGAAAGGTGACCAGTGTCTATGTGCGTCCACGTAGTATATGACACCAGCAATAGAAAGAACGGCAGAAATTACTGCCAAAATACTCGCCACTATTGCACACCAAGAGTAGTGGAGCACAACCAGAAGGATGAGAATGATGCCCGCAATGAGGACTACCAAGCCAGACGTTAAGAGGAGGGCTCCCGTCACCTCGTTAGGACCAGAACGAATACAGCTTTCGCTCAGAATGCTGCCTTGACAACTCCATCCGTTAAAACCGATGGCAAAGAAGATGAAAAAGGCCGCCAGAAGGGCTAAAATGACGTATAGTATCTTCCGATCCATTAGTTACGCATCGTTTCTCTTTCCTTCCCCTCCTCTCCGTTTTGATCATTTAAATACCTCCAGTGGAAGAAGGGTGTCTTGTGCCTCCATTCTTGCACTGGGGTTAAGTACAGTTCGTTGCACCTTTCTTCATCCGACCTTGCACCTTCACCATGAAAACGTAAATGCCCGCATTCTCTCTTGTTCCTCTTGTGACTACTCCTTCGACCCTAGACAATAAAATGCACAATAAGAACCTAAAACTAAACCACTGTTAAAATGCCTAAGACGTCATGAAGTAAAAACAGCATTAACCGGTGCGTTGTAGCGAGGGTCGCTTGCTTTAAACAAGCGACTGTCAAGAGTAAAGTCAGTAGGCGACTTCTGTACACACCACTGAGTCATTCCATTTAATTGTGGACGCTGTGTAGAACACCTATTTGCTTTGACTGCCCTTTACAGCAGCTTAATTCTACTGCAGATCGGATTTCTCTCGATTTTGTAGGTTTACATGGTGCAGGAATTTGAGAAAACTATGCCAGTAAGGCCCCCACATATTGATGCCGTGGCGTCTTCACACGCAAAATAAGTGACGAGTAGGTAATTATTTTAACGTCATAAGAGGACTTTTCCATCGTCACTGAGCCCATGGGAAGCGCAAAAGCAGGCAAAGTAATAGGCTAGAATTCTCTGGAAACCTGTTAAATTACCTGACTAATGCGATGGCTCTGATAGCTTGTTAAATTGCTCCATCAAGGTTGCACACATTATACCTTGCATTCGGCTGATTAATTAATTGGCATCGTTAGAAGGCAAAATGGGAGAATCCAGGCACAAACTACGCTAAAGACGATACAGTTGACTTCGAGTCAACGACACAATTATTGGCATGTCTCTTTCTTAGTGGATCCACTCTGTTGCCTACTGAAATACGCGTTCAATGACTGCTAAAGAAGCCGAGGTCAAGGCAACACTAGAAGTAGAGGGCGAGAACTCCCACCAATCCGCTACCAGCGTCGATCCTATCATGACTAACAAAGTGGCGTGATGTACCTCACCCCACTTCAGCCTCCACCCACGGTGTTTTGAGGTGAGGAGGAAAAACCGTTGCACAAAAAAGGCACTTTTATGTCCTTCATTCTGTGTCATAAATTCAACTAAAAAGTGGAGAAAATGGTAATAAATATTAGGTAGCATTGTGTCAAAAGCAAAACTACAAAATCGCAGATAGTGTGGGGCCAAAATGAGCCAAACAATTTGGAAGGACGCTTCAGAGTTTATATAGTTTGCATTCAATCGTGGCAAGTAGTTTCATGCCTTCCTCAATGTCTGTGGCAGTAGGTGCAGCTCTGACTAAGTCTACCTGACTGGATGTCGCCACGATTTAAACAGAACAAATCGAAACATCTCTTTATAATCACCACATCTTAGAAACGAAAGCGATGGAGGTTAACATAAGACGCTAACCATGCTTCCCTTGGTACATGTGCCAACCACAGATGTCTACTGCAAACCTATGAGAATTTCTATGCTGCTGAAATTTAAATAGGAAGGGAATTTGAACGAAAGGTAAAAGTAACGCAAGTGGAAATTTAAAATTAAAGTATCCTAGCGTTCTGTAAATAAAGGCGGCTCATAGAATCATCCAAGAGCTTGACAGGCAGAGGAGTGGAGTAGGTCGATAAGGGAGTCGATAGCATTCGTTGACATGCCTGCTGCTAAGGACTACATAAATTACAAATTCATACCTATGGTTTTTGCCAACGTCAGCTCTTAAGGCTGTGATGCGAACAGTTTTTGCCTTCTTCGCCCAATCTTACTACACCAGCAAGTTGGTTCGGCTTTTAAAGTTCGTCGTTGAATTGGTTTTAGAATCCAATTTTCGCTATAAAATGATGCCTCTTAGACTATAATGCACGAATGGACTTCCCCCAATGGACTAAATCAAGAGTCAGATTGGCATAGTGATATCATGCCATTTCTAGCTTGAGTCGAATGTCAAGCACAGTTAATTAGATATCCTTCCTTCATGCCTAATCGCCCTCCGGGAGTCCCAAACCGCATCATTAAATATTGGCCCACAACTCAAAACGTTTGCATCGTGTCGACTGACGTATGAACCAATCATTCAACAACCTTCAGACGCACCAATCAAAATAGAGGTAGGTGTATGGAATTCAGCGAAAAAATGTGTGTATTGCTAACCAATCATAATCAAGCAAAGGTGCTTCAGTGCCAAAGGATCTTAGTAAAGCTCAGGGACGAGGGTAGAATGTCACAGTGGTGGGGACTTTACCAGCTTAGGGCTGCTTAGGGGTGTCATTTATTACAAAGAAAAATAAGGCCATGCCAAGCTAAGCCGCAACCGGTCTTTACTTTGCTTTTAGAGCCCAAAAAACATCCTAACACCAACTACAGTCACTGTAGCCACCTTGGTTGCAATTCTGGTTCGCTTATACAGCGATACTCGATACATTCTATCATTATTGTCTAGACACTCCAGTTGTCAAGCCTAAAGGGACAATAGTAAATAGTACCACTTCTCTTGAGTTTATAAAATGCAATGGTCAGTTAGTTCAGAGTGAGATTAACTAAACTGTGGCATTTTCACAATCCTCACTTTGTGAATGTTAATGTCTTCAAGCATCGTCTTGATAATAGACTCCTAATGTGGAGGAATAATCGAAAGGTGCTTATTGGTATGTCGCTAATTTATTTAGGCAAAAATAAAGAAAGTGGAACTTATGCTATAAAAAAAGGCAGATTTGATTTGCTCTTATAAAAAAGTATGGTGCTCCTGGTCCGAATCTTGTTTCTTTCCTCATTTTCGATTAAAGACTTACTCGCCCTACATTGAACTCAGAAATCACAATGATTGAGTACTGTAAGGTTTCATAGTCCAATATTATAGTCCAAATATGCTTCCGCGGTGTAATTTAACCTCCGTCGTGATTAGTCATGGTTACGCCAAAAGTTAATGCATCACCCGTTTGTTGAGTGCGTATTTGTCATGGCTTCAGTTATCGCGTGTGCAGTCCACCATCCGGTCCTTGAAGCCACAGAACCATGCTTTCAACCAACGCCCATCCATCTGGACCTATCCAGCCTCGATTTGCTTCTCTGACCTCTCTCATATATCCACCCGTTCCCCTTCCACTTGGCCTCACACTACGCCCTTCCAATAGCTTTAGGCACAGGGTCGGACATTCTGCAGTTGCTAAATCACCAGTTGTCAACTCTAAAATGCTTCAAAGGAGATTTTCAATCTCACATCGGTGCCAACAACAAACCTAAATGCCCTTTGAGTAACACAGCAACAGTCCCCATGTCAATCCCAACATTTATTTGGGCTTCTATTTAACATGTAAAAGGGCAACTAAGATTACAAACAAGGAAGAAACAAGCTACTGGCCAGCAGCACGTGTGAAGGTGCTGGTGTAGCCCTTTTACCCCCCTTTCTTCTCTTTGTGAAGGAAAAATACAGAACAGCATACAACCGATATAAATAAACTTATTTAGTTACTTTACAAGGGCCCGTAGACTTTGAAGGATGCTTGTCCTCTGAGAGGAGCGTCAAATCGAACACGAGGATGCTAGAAAGAATAACCGTTAGAGTTGTAGCAACAGATGCAAGGCTGGGCGACCAAAGATGGTTCACATGTACATGCAAGAATGTTCCAACCATTGCGAAAATGGCAGAGATGACTGTCAACACACAGGCCACTGTTGCACCCCATGAGAAGTAAATAATAATTGGAAGGAGGAGGAAGATGTCGGCAATTAAAATGATCAGACCAGCAGTGATGAGGAGAGCGCCTGTCACATCGTTATGTGGATGACCAAGACAGCTTTTACTGATAATGCTGCCTTCACAACGCCATCCATCGTAACCGATGGCGACAAAGAAGAGGAGTGCCGCTGCAAAAGCGAAAACTGCGTACAGTACGTTTCGATCCATACTTAACGCCTCCTTCAATGCCTTCTTTTTTATCTCCTCTCCACACCCACAGTTCATTTAAACGCCACCACCGGGGTCAAGGTCACTTGACTACACATTTTGCATTTTACGGATGAGATACTTACCTTTGAGTGTCAAATACACTCACCTCCATAACCTTAATGATTACTTGTGCGTGGCAAAGCATGAGGCAATTAATTTGAAAAGAAGGTGTAATATATTCTAGTTTGTTTAAGTGGACTTGGATAGGCGAGAGGCGGGAGGCAATTGGGAACGCGATTGACATCTCCTGCATCCCCCATCCTTCTTACAGAGACCAAACTTCCTCTTAAAGTCTGAGAACCAGGGACCAGAGGGTAGACAGGCTGTAACTACAGAAGGAATGAACAAATATTAAAAAGTTTTAAGCCAAACACTACTTTGCCTTGAGGCAGAAGGCGATTCAGAAGAAGGTGACAGGGGTATTTAGTGGGACGGAGGTCTCTCACACTCCTCCACTAGGCACTGAGCATGCAGGAAGTCAAAGAGAGGTCCACACATCGACACCCTTCAATTCAAACTACATCAACCTTTCCAACAGACCATTGAACACAAACACACGAGCACTTCAAACAGACTTCGATTGCATTGAAAGAAATGGCATTCCTGGATGCACTCGGCTTCAGAGTTACAATTGAGGGAGTTTGCAAAACATGACATATCTTTGTTAGGCGAATCCACCAAGAGTCGGACACCTTCATCTTGTGGGCTTTCAAGAAATTATTCATTACGTTGGTGCCTCCTCAACGCCTCTAACAACACTAACATGTCTTTTTGAGTGGGTGTCTACTCAAACTCTCCTTGCGCTTACATCAGGATCTGGCAGAGATACTAGTAAATTTTTGTCCTAATTTTTTAGGCTAATCAACACCATAAAAAAAATGCACCATCTCAACCATGTGTGTTGTTGTGCCCACCCACGCATGCCACAGACGTCACGGTCATCGACTGCACGTGGTTTGGAGACCAGACTGTGGACAATTAGAAGTTCTTTTTTGGTGTTTTTTTTCCCCTCCAAATCACCTGCCTACTGCAGAATGTCTACAATGAGGGAAAGGAGATTGGTCTACGCTTTTGTAAAGTGCGAAAATAGTCTCCACCACAATCAAGACGCCTTTTGGAAGAATCAAGGGATTGGTAGGGAATTGCACCACTGATTTCGTGCTTACCGGAGTGTAGAGAGGAAAGGCAGCCTTATATTTACCGTTTGGCCAGACAGCAACGTTGGAAAGCGGTCTACGAGCAGTAGGAAACAGTAGTAAAACCCTCCTTAGAAATGCCAAGATCTGCCACCCACATCTCCTTAATTTCATCCACATCAACTGCGACATACACCTCATTGACTGTTAATCTACCTCCGGGCAGAAAATTCTTTCAGTTGCATAGCGTTCAAATTAAAAAGCGCCTTTTTTGAGTCGATCAGTTGCAACAGTGGGTTTGCCATGTATGTTCTTGCTGTGGTGCATCCCGACCCTCGGCGTAGACGTTGCAAAGTGGGTAGTGTGAAGTGGTGTCTGGACGCAGCTGTAAACGATGACGAGAAGGGAATGATGATCCATGGCTTGAGCTCTGATACCACGCAGAGTGGGCATTTGGTAACCACCAGATCGGTCATCACATGAAAATGATGAACTCAGTCCCTTAATGGCACAATCTTTTTGAATTGACACCTCAAGGTGAATTTTGTTATGTCACCTTTTCCAATATTTTTTAAAAACTACATATTTTGTAGGGGATTTGTAGTTTTAAGATAAAAAAAGAATCAACCGTTATGAGCACTTCCGTTTCAGCACTCGTCATGCGCACAATACCGTGCGGTGATTGAAACTTTCAACTAAACATCAAAATTTATGTCTTTCCATCTCCTTCAAACCAAGAAGAATGCGTTGAAGGCATGGAAATGGTATTGCAAATCCACCAAAGACGAATGTGCACACGTCTGCCACTGCCAACTTGGATCCACGACGCCACTGACTCGGCGTGCAGTAGAAGTCCTCAAGACGACTAAATTTAGCCAAGGATCCGTGATGCTGTATAACACCATGGCTCAGTGTTGTACAATCGTCCGCAAGTGCCATCCTCGTGCAGCCGGACTTCCAAATTAATCCACCCGTCCACCTACCAATCAATCCACCTCCTATCCACTCTCCACTTGTTAACATCTACCAACTCTAAGCATCCCTGGACCCATTTCGTAACCATCCTCATCCCCACTGCCCAGTCGGTCACAAGAACGTCCTTGCCACAAAAAAATAGTCAAAATCTCACCCATCCGTCAGCATATTCATTTCCCCGCTGCCTAGCATGCATACCACCAACTCACCCTCACATTCCCATTACACCTGACCAAGGAGCTTGAAACTACGTTCTGAAGTTGCCACCGCCTTGGGAGCTTCTGTACTTCAAATGCCCCCTACCAACAACCATGGAAGAACGGCGTCAAGAGGGCTAAAGTTTCAGCTGGTAAACTGTAACGAGGTAATGGCCAAAGTGAGTAACAAACGTCTGGCCACCTAAATCTCAGTGAAAGAGTACAATTCCATGATAACACGTACACACAATAAACAACTTTATTTAACCACTTTACATAACCTTGCGATTTACAATGGAACGTGAGAAAATAATGTGCAAGAGGTGTTTAAGCAACTTAGTATTTAGTTACCAGATCAAATATAAGAATGCCAGACAGAGTGATCGTCAAAGTTGTTGCCCCAGTAGCAATGAAAGGTGACCAATTAAAACGCAAATCCGAGTAGTAGGACATGGCAGCGATCGAGAGAACAGCAGAGATGACCGCCAATGCACAGCCAGCTATTGCATAGCAAGAATTGTTAAATACAAGGAGGAGGACAAGAATACTGCCTGCGACTAGAACAATCAATGCGGCTGTCAAGAGGAGGGCACCCATCGTTCCATCAGAACTACGAAAAAGGTCATTCTCAATCTGATGATTTTCAGCCTCCAACTCCCACCCCTTATAACCGATGGAGACGAAAAATAAAATAGCTGCTGCAAAGGCAAGGATAGCATACATCCACCTGCGATCCATGCTTTACACGTGTATCGCCTTCTCTCTTCTCGTTCTTCTCACTTCACCTCTTTAAATATCCATCTCCAGTTCAAGGTCATTTCACCACAAACGTCTTATCCAGACAACACCAAATTGCGTCCTTTTTGGGCTCCCTGACTGCCCATTTGTCTCGAGGCTGAGCAGTTTATTGAGTTAACCCATAATGAAACAAAATGCAACACATTTTTATCAAGATGATCTCCTCAGCTTCAACACTTGAGCAGATTCATTGCAGTAGTACCAACCATAATAATAAGTTTCGTGCGTGTGTATATTCGACCATCCCCCCCCCCCACCACGCGGTATAAAAATAGCAAAATAGTACAAAATGAAAGTTTACAGACAGAGTAAGTTTAGATTAGTATGCTGTAACACATGGACAGCGATATGAAGCAAGCACGCGATGAAAGCAGCTGGTCGAAGGCAAACATGGAGGATCCAGATCAGTTCTCTTTCTGGCATAGTGAACACAAGCCCAAACACTCTATACTTCCACGGCAGACAATTCAGTAGTTCAACCGCCCAGCCTTCTCAGCAAGGTGAGCAATTTGAGAATCTATACTAATTTCAAAGAAGAGCGATGTGCGGAGGGCAACCAAGCGGTTGCACTAAATTGACCCCAGAGATCCCATTTTGATAACACGTCAGAACACGTTTGCATGGCTCGTGTGGTGGAAGAAGCACCCATGCAAAATTCGTGCTAAGCTATTACTTCTTCTTCTTCTTCTCCATAAGATTCGCACATCTCACTATCACGATTAGTAAACCACACAACGGCATCAAGACTCCCACATTGGAGGCCATCGAATCCACTAATATCATTCTATTAGGCGCTAGAATTCTCTGAAAACCTAAAACCTGCTCAAATAATGTGCAGTAATCTGATATGATTGCCTTTGTGGTGCTACAAATCACCACTTCAAGGTTACACACATCAAGAAGCGCAGTGAGGTGATTAAATAATTGGCGACTCTGAGGAGCGGTTGTGTAATTAAACAATAGAAGGGTAAAGTGTGGAGCTGCAGTAGGAAAACACGTACCCTTCTTCTCTGAGTGTCTCCAGTTACCGAAAAAGGAAGGCAAGAAGTGGTTAGCCAGAGTTTCAGATCCTCCAGCAGTTTAAGATATACCATTGTCCACCCACTTGGCCCATACGTGAAGGCGATTTTTTGTTCCTACATTAAAACCGCTCAAACACTGGCAATCCTTTTCCATGCTTCTACTCCCTAGTGATCCCTTAACAAGCTCACTCCAAGCAAGCCTTTCCGCCACACCAATTCTCGATCATCCAGTTACTTTGATGCACTGGTAGCTCCTAGGCGGAGACAATTTTACACCTCTTCAACCTGTGTCACAATCCATTTCCAGTTGGGGAAGATGACTAGGCGCCCAGTATCCAAGTTTGTGCGACTTTAGGGTTTATCTCTACTTCGCAAATAACTTCCAGGTTATAAAAATTAGATAACATACTAACATATGTAAAAATTATAATATTATGTGCTTCTTCTTCATTCAAGTCCAAAAAGTAGCTTAAACGGGAGACGAGAATAATTCAACTGATACCACAAATAGTGACTACAATTGCATTCCTAACGTAAAAAAATTTAACTTATTAAACGTTGGTAAAGCCTTTTAAGACAGACCGTTCAATTTTCTATAGAAAAAAATTACAAACCAAATTGCCCTACTGAGCCAATATGCCCATCGGTCACCAAGGCAACCGCTGACGACCAGATTTGACTGTCCGACTATCCACGCTATTCACGCGTCAACCGCCTCCGGATGTAGTGAGCAGAAGGGGGTCCTCATTCCGCACAGCGATGAAAGTATGTCACGACTCCAGCAAAAGACACGTTGATGCTTGTCTACTGCTTGTGAAGAGAAGTGCTGGAGATAAAGGCGTATGACACCAAGCCAGAATTGATGCCAGACAATACTACAACAATGATT